CCAATAGTGACTCTACCATTTGAATGTTTCGGCAGAAGTTGATACACATGAGATGAGGCAACCTTTCTTCAGTCTCTTATTGTGTAATTTTAGAAACCCTATGTGAATTGTAGCCTCAGTTTCCATGTTCTTAACTGACTGGAGTGAGGAGTTTGCTCTTGTAAATGTGTAGTCTTCAGAGATGCTGTTCTGCAGACCTTGGTTGTAACAAGTGTTTTTGTTTGGACCATTGACCTGTGGGATCAACAAGATATTTTCACTCAGTGGATGTTTTCAGACCTTTATCTGCATCTTAGAGATGGTTGCTCATGAAAAACTTAGCAGATCAGCGGCTTATGAAATACTCAGATAAATCTGTCCGCCACCAACAACCAAGTCAAAATCACCTTAAGGGCACCTATTTTACCCATTTTACAATATGTAAGATAAGCCTTTGGTGTCTCCAGAATGTGTCTGTAAAGTTTTGGGTCTGTTTTGAGCATAACATGCGTTAGAGACTCATCTCACAATCCCTTTAAAAGTCAGTTGTGACGCACCATAACACATTTGCTATTTACATGGCGACTTTGTAAGTGAAAAAATTGAAAGCCCTAGCGAGAAAACAGTTAAATAGACCATCTGCAGCGTGAGGATAAAGAATAAGTATCCTCCATTTGACCTCTTTAGTTTCTCTTTCTCTTCACTTACTCTTTCAATTTTGTGGATAAGGAAACAGTGTTGTACGCACTCAACTGAAGACATTCATTAGCCTACATAATTAATTTTGTTTAAGTGCAAAGATTTGTTTCAAAACGATTTCTAAATTAATTTCTAATTTCCAGCAAATGAATAAATGGTCCAAAACCCAACAGGTAGACAAATATAAGCTTGTTTTAAATAAAACAAATATAAAAATGTATGTAAATAATAATAATAATAATCGCCTAGGGTGGCAGAATAGAGAGGGCGGCTCTCAGGTATACCCGCTTGTAGGGCGGCAGTATAGAGAAGGCGGCGTCCCCGACACTACCACCCGCACCCTCAGTTATATCCCCACCTTCACGTTAGGGTTGAGGGTGGCATTACCGTCCTTTGCCTAGAGCAGCAGTTCAGCTTGCTCCGGCCCTGGCTCTGTGCTGGACTTTAAACCTGTTTTCAGTCGGTCAATTGTGCAGTCTATTTTAGTTCCTTAAAATAGCAACGCACCAACAATGCTCCTTAGCACACCTCCTTTCTAGACCGGCACACCCATCAGTGCACAAAGCGGTGCTAATAAATTTGCTGTTTAAATAATTGGTGCAAAACGGGAAAACTACACTAGCGTTGGTTTTAAAATAGCAACACTTGCGCCTTATTGCTCTGGGTGCGTGAAAGGACCCTAACTGATCATTTCATGTATTTGTGTGGGGTTTATTCAAGCCTTTCTGAAACAATGAGTGACACACAAATGCAGTTAGCAGTACACAAACACACATGTGTGCGTTTACTGACACCATGCGGCCGTGGTGATTATAGCAGTCGAGAATTACATAGCAATTTTACTGTCTTTATTACAAACATGCTGTTTTAAAAACGTTTTAAACTTATACAAATCGCAGAGAGTTAGAACAGATATTTTAATCCCAGTTTATTTGCAAAAAACTGTTCTGTATACATGTTTTTATAGAAACATGGCGCCTGTCAATCAATTCGGTGGGCAGGGAAAATCGTACTTCTACGTTATGTGGTGGTGAGCCTCAAAATCACTGGGATTTGGGTTCTATTTTAGTGTCAAGACATATAAAATTTTTAAAAAGAAAAAAAAAAAACTTGTTGGGTTTATATCACTTCAATATGACAGTGGACACACTATATCTAACTTTAAAGTTCTCTCCCTTTCAAGTTCCTGTAAAATCAAAGTTATTTTAGATCTTAGCATCAATAGTCTTAATGTTATCTATAAGCTAGTTTGCTCTAAAAGAGTGTTGAAACAATCAAATGCTCTCTAGTATCTGACACTCCTCGCCCCTTGAAAGATGGTATTGCTTCTGAAATTAGTCAAGAAGCATTATAACTTTGCCTAAAACACTTTCAAACACAAGAAAATATTAAACATTGTTGAAACTGTTAATTTGAGCCCCTTATATGTCACGAGTGGAGAAAGCCAGAGGTTTTTAAATGCATTGTGTACAGCACTTCTTTACAGCAACCATCACCAGGGAAAATATATTACGCACACACATTCATGATGACTATAAAGGAGTTTCAAAATTAAATCTGCAACATACAGTTATAGTTTTAATATTGTGAATAGCAATATACAGTACATTAGAGATAAATGATTCAGATTCAGACAGTAGGTAGTGCTGTCGCCTCACAGCAAGAAGGTCGCTGGTTCGAGCCTCGTCTGGGTCAGTTGGCATTTATGTGTGGAGTTTGCATGTTCTCCCTGCATTCGCATGGGTTTCCTCCGGGTGCTCCAGTTTCCCCCACAAGTCCAAAGACATGCGGTACAGGTGAATTAGATAAGCTAAATAGTCCGTAGTCTAAGTGTGTGAATAAGTGTGTATGGATGTTTCCCAGTGATGTGTTGCAGCTGGAAGGGCATCCGTTGCATAAAAACATATGCTGGATAAGTTGGCAGTTTATTCCAATGTGGCGACCCAAGATTAATAAAGGGACTAAGCCAAAAGAAAATAAATGAATGAATGAATAGTGTAAATATAGTTCCCCTTTGGTGTGAATGAAGTCTGCTTTCTTGTTAATGCCAAGTGAACCACCGCAGTGCATAGTTACACGGTTCACTGCAGCACAAAGCGGATCATATGAGTGCATCGACATGGACTACAAAATTTATCGGTCCCATTTGAATTAAACTGAAAGTTGTATTTTAAAGGAGAGAGACAGTCAGTCAGAATCAGAATTTTTATTATACACTGTGGCAGTCACAGTAGCTGTGATATAAACACAACATGATTGGCTGTATTTTATTTATTTATTTAATTGCTATTCTGTGTCCTATCTTAAAGTTTCAATGAAAATTACGTCAAACAGCAAACAAAACTTCGAATTTCAAAGCACTTCGCCTGATCTATAAATTACTTTCATCCATATTTTGGTGGTTTATTCATTCATTCACCTAGACTGCAGCTCTCCACAAGACATTTTGCCATATGAGAAATGGTCATGCTAACCGAGCCAGGTTTCTCCCAGGGTTTTTTTTCCTTCACTTTTGCTGATAGGTAAAGTTTTTTTTCCTCGCCACTTTTGCCACTGGCTTGCATAGTTCGGGACTTGTAGAGCTGCGCATCGATGGATTACTCTTCAGTGTTTGGACTCCCAGCAGTGAACACTAAAACACATTGAACTGAACTGAGCTAATCTAAACTGAACTACACTGTTTACATTCACTATAACCTTCTATGTGAAGCTGCTTTGACACAATCTACATTGTAAAAGTGCTATACGAATAAAAATGAATTTAATTGAATTAAATAAATTTTTTTCAGGGGTCGCCACTGCGCAATGAACCACCAACTTATCCAGCATATGTTTTACGCAGCGAATGCTCTTCCAGCTGCAACCCCGTACTGGGAAAAACCCATACACACTCTTTCTCACAAATACACCATGGACAGTTTAGCTTATTCAATTCACCTATAGCACATCTCTTTGGATTCTGGGGAAACCGGAGCACAAGAGGAAACCCACGTGAACACGGGGAGAACATGCAAACTCCACACAGAAATGCCAACTGAGCCAGCTGGGAATCAGTGACCTTCTTGCTGTGAGGCGATTGTACTACCCACTGTGCTACTGTGATGCCCTCTGATGGTTTATTTAGCAGATAATGTCAACCACGTCTGCATCTTTTAATGCACAGAGATCCCTCCATGTGATTGGCTAACAACTGAACAGGTGTAGACAATTAAGTGAACAGCTAAGGAACTTCCTCCATTACTTTTCCCATTCAGTATTTTTTCCCGAACGTAAATAAGCTTAAAACGCTCATGTGTTCCTCACATCGTAAACGACAAGCGATTTAATATCTCATAAAAACACACTTGCGAAATTTTCCACACACATCAAAGTTTAATTACCCTTTTACAACATTTCACCTTAAAAACATAAAACAGAGATGCTGGAGTTTACGGAACTATATATGACTGGATAAATATGACCTGAAGTGCTTAGTCCCTCACAATGTCACTTTTCATTAATGTCCTAGCACATGTTCTCCTCCACAAGCACTGTAAATACTTACTGGTGACAGCAAGCTCATAATCACACACACACACACACTTTACCCCTCCTCGTTTATCCTGGCATCATGTTCTCTGGTATTTTTTGAAGAGGAGGCCTCCAGGAAGACAAGCAGGGCGACCACTGCTTTTAAAAGCTTCCCCATCCCCAGGCGGGAGGTTTCTCTTTGCTATGAAAGGCACACGAGGCCCCCGTTCTCATGTCCTGTGACGCATGCAGGCCAGCTGGGCAAACAGTCGTCCCGTCCGCTTCCTAATAGGAACAGCAAAGTACATCAGGCCCACCAGAGTCTTCTGTATGGGCTCTTTATATGGTTTTAGATGGCTGACAGTCATGTGAAATCGTCTTATGTGAAATCAAACCACGAGCATCTCTTCCGATTGAAATGCCCAAACCACAGGGTCTCCATCTCTAGAAGCTTCTAGAAGGGAGACACTTGTGTTTATAGCAGCAGGTTAGAGTCAGGCTGGATTAAGGGAAATCCTCATGTAGAAAAAAAAAACACAGTCCTGTGTTCCCATTGCAGAGGCTTTCCTGGAAGATGGGCTGTTTTGCTGATGGCTCATGGTTGTCTTCTAATGACTAGGCATGCATGGATTCTGTGCACTCAGAAATTCACAAACAATTTCTGAAAACAGAAAACTCCACAGCAGAACAGCCTTGTCATACAATCTATTATCTGTATATAAATGTATATATCTTTTTTTCTGTGTTAATGTGCATTTGTTTTTATTTATATTATTAAGTTAAAAAAAAATGTTCTTGCTGTTGTTTTATAGAGACAATGTTGAGTTTTGTGGATGACATCATGTCAGGGGCCAAATCCCCGTGTGTGATGCTTGGAGACATTCCCGATCCTCTGTCTTCAATCTCCTTGATCATTCGCTGCCTGGAGCCGGACACCACCTACATGTGAGTTCCTCCTTCTGTAAATGGCACACAAAACACTCCTCATTCACTGGTTAATTTCAGAAGATATATTATATAAGTTGGTTTGGGAGCTGGGTCTATTCTACGCAAGCTATGGTGAATTTCACCTTAATATTTTAGCGTGGATGTATACCTGAATGGTGAGCCATATGACAAATACTGCCCTTCTGAATCAAATCAGCATGATGCCTGACTTTAACTGCAGTTCGGCAGTTTCACTTTAACTCATGAACATTTCATTCATGCCACAGTGACAAACTTAATCAGACGCAAATAAGGGAGAAGGACTGGTGAGAGTGTTATGGAATTTCATAACACTAATATATGCACACTCCACGGGTCTTAATTCAATTTCTGTTTAGTTCAGTTTGTTTATTTAGGCCTACAGTTCAGAATTCATGTTTAACTGAATAAACAGTTCGTAAACACAAGTACATCTTATTGAACATCATTTATTTTCATCATCAATTATCATAGTAGAACAGTTCCTAATGCAATTTGGAAACAGGATATGAGCCCCTGGTCTAATGCACCACCTGGTTCAAGAAACCCATTCTCAAAGAATTAATATTTGGGGAGCACACATTTTTTTAATTCCTTCGGCAGAATTCAATTGAGCTGTTTTAATCTAGATTAATCTAGATTAATTCCGAGATTAATCTAGATAAAAAAGTAATCTATGCCTATCTATTATATATATATATATATATATATATATATATATATATATATATATATATATATATATATATATATATATATATATATATATAATTATTATTATATTTTGACCATATTATTATATATTTTTTCTTTATTATTATTTTTTTACCATATTATTATTATTATTATTATTATTATTATTATTATTATTATAGTTTTAAAAAAATCCACCAAAACCTCTGTTTTGTCTTTTAGTCAGTAAGACAAAACACTAAACACTGAGGCCCCAGTTTTTGGCTGCCAGGTTGACTTGGACATTGAACTGACGTGAAGTTGCATGTCTTCAGTCACATGAGGGAATTTAATATCTGCGTGAGCCCAAGCAATTATATCTAACAAAGGCTGTGAGGCTGTGAAAATCCTATAATGATTTGTGTAAAATATGTCTGGAGTATTTCCTCCCATGTCAATTTTCCAATATCAGTAGTTGACTTCGATTGCGCTGTTCACTAAATAGCTTGGCAGGTGAAAAAAAAATCTTGGAACGTATAATTGATCTAATCATTGCTTTTATGTAAAAGCATTTGTTAAGTGTGTTCAGACGCCCTTGGAGAGGTATTACATCTTTTTCTCAAGAACTTTCATTTTTGTGCCATGGGGAAGAACATGGTCTGCTCACCCAGTAAAACAGACTCAATTTGGGTTAGTTTTTATACATTCTTCAGATACATCTGGGGAAACATTTCATTCTCTGGAAGAGTTTGAAAGTGCGTCAAAGGGTGCACCTTTGCTGTAATAGCAGAAACAGCATAGGGAAGATTGATTTGCTGAACAGGGCTACTTACAACATGAAAAGGTTCAAGTAACCGTTTGATTTTAGCAGTCTATTGTGAGTGTAGATCAAAGAAGGAAAAAAGGAAATGTTATTATTATTATTATTATTATTATTAATATTATTATTATGCTTATTATTACTACTACTACTACTACTACTACTACTACTATTAATATTATTTAACATTATCTTGAAAGAAATTCTTATTAAATAAATATTTTAATTAGAATTATTTATTACTAGTAGTAGTATCCCCAAATTCATATAATAACAATAACAATAATAATAATAATAATAAATATTATAATCATCATTATCATCATCATCATCATCATCATCATCATTATTATTATTATTATTATTATTATTATTATTAACATTAATTAACATTCATCTTTGAAATCAGTTGTCAATAAATAAAATATTTTTTTATTAAGAATTATTTATAGATTTTGCTTATATGGAAAAATACAAAACAACAATGTAACATTTATTGTTATATAATGTACTAATTATAATATATATATATATATATATATATATATATATATATATATATATATATATATATATATATTTTTTTTTTTTTTTTTTTTTTTTTTTTGACCTCTTCTTTTATCATTTTTGAGAGCAACATTTACTGTTGTCTTCAAACATCTTGTGATAATTGTGCCTGCATTTGAAACTGCTGTATGTTCCTCCTCCCTAATAACCTGTGAGGTCTTCAAGCACGTGTGTGAGCAGTGTTTCTCGCTCTGCTCTGTTCAGTTGCAGAAGCTTTATTTTGACTGCTCTGATGTCCTGCACTGCTCGTCCCACACACATGCAGAGTTACACGCAGGGCCCGCTGGAGACATTACACAGCCCATAGTTCTCCTTAGTGCACTTCTTTCCAAATGTTTCTGATTGTTGACCGATGCTCTTTCGATTATTTATGGACCTGTTCAGTATTATTGTCAGATTCATTTCAGAGTTGTGTTGTTCAAAGTTTCTGAAAAGATACACTGGGGTACAAAGGTCTGAGGCTGATTCTTTTGTGCATTGTTTGCCTTTCTAGTTTTGGATGCATTACAAACATTGTTTTTAAATACAAACCTTACTTAATTGCATTATTGTCAACTAAATCTAACATTAAAACATTACGTATTTTTTGTTACATGGAATAAATAAACTTTTACTGATAAAATCCTTTTTTATTTCAGCTGGTTGGCAAGAACATATATTATGTTAATATAATATTATTAAAACAAATATAAATTAACAAATACACCAATTATATAAAATATACACTCACCGGCCACTTTATTAGGTACACCTTACTAGTACCAGGTTGGACCTCCAACTGCCTTCAAAACTGCCTTAATCCTTCATAGCATAGATTCAACAAAGTACTGGAAATATTCCTCAGAGATTTTGGTCCATATTAACATGATAGGATGAAACAGTTGCTGTAGATTTGTTGGCTACACATCCATGATGTGAATCTTCCTTACCATCACATCCCAAAAGTACTCTATTGGATTGAGAACTGGAGACTGTGGAGGTCATTTGAGTACAGTGAACTCATTGTCATTTCAAGAAAACAGTCTGAGATGATTCGCGCTTCAGGACATTACGCGTTATCCTGCTAAAAGTAGCCATCAAAAGATTGGTACACTGCGGTCATAAAGGGGTGGACATGGTCAGCGACAGTATTCAGATAGGCTATAGCATTGACATGATGCTTAGTTGGTACTAATTGGCCCAAAGTGTGGCAAGAAAATATCCCCCACTCCATTACACCACCACTACCAGCCTGAACTATTGATACAAGGCAGGATGGATCCATGCTTTTATATTGTTAATGCCAAATTCTGACCCTACCATCCAAATTTCGCAGAAGAAGTCGAGACTCATCAGACTGCTAGCTTATCCGCCTCAAAATTGGACATGTTGTGTGCTCAGAGATGCTCTTCTGATTACCTTGGTTGTAACGAGTGGTTATTTGAGTTCCTGTTGCCTTTCTATAAACTCAAACAAGTCTGGTCATTTTCCTGTGACCTCTTGCATCAACAAGGCATTTGTGTCCACAGAACTGCCGCTCACTGGAAATTTTTCGGACCATTCTCTGTAAATTATAGAGATGGTTGTGTGTGAAAATCCCAGTAGATCAGCAGTTTCTGAAATACTCAGACCACCTATCTGGCACCAACATCCATGCCATGTTCAAAGTCACTTAAATCAGCTTTCTTCCCATTCTGATGCTCGGTTTGAACTGCAGCATTTTGTCTTGATAATGTCTACATTCCTAAATGCATTAAGGTGCTGCCATGTGGTTGACTGATTAGAAATTTGTGTTAACTAGCAGTTGGACAAAAAAGTGGCCACTGAGTGTATATGCATATATAAAAATATAAAAACACATACACAGACCTTAGTGGGACTGTTTTTTTTAAAGAAAATCAATTTATGAAACAGACTAAATACTTGACATTTTAATTCAGTTAAAACCACAATGACTACAACAAAAATAAAACTATGACCAGAGTCTTTTAAAGCCCACGGCCCCCACGCGCCTCTTTCACTCTCCCCCGCAGAGGGATAAGTCGAGGGGGGTCGAGACCAGCCGGGTACCCGTCGGGAGCCTGCGACGCCGACCTTCGGATCACCGAAACACCTCTTCTTCCCACGCCACCGACCCCAACAAACAGACAAACAATCAAACACATAAATAAATAAAAAAATAAATAAACAAACAAACAAAATATTTTTTATATATATTATTATATATTGTTTATATCTGGATTTTCCTTGTAGTTAGTTTATATCAATCAAGTTGTTTTTTTTTATAATAATTAAAAAAAAACTTTTTTAATTTAATTTCATTTTAAACTACAAGCATAAAGACTTTCTTGATACTTTATTTCAGTTGTTTTATTCTGTTTTTTTTTGTTGTTGTTGTTTTTTTTTTTCAGAAAAAAGAGCCGAAACTATGTGTAGGACCCAGGACAATATTTTAAACTTAACCTTTATCAAAACAGATGTATGAAATCATTGTTTGGAAGTTTAACTATTTTTTTCTTTTTTTTAATGCAACTCTTAAAGACTATACTTTCATACCGCCAATTACACGCAGCTCTTTTATTCGTAAATCACGCACATGAGAGCCACTTGTGTATTTATACCCCACACGCACCTTCAACGTGATCTCACCAAAGCAGAGTGCAGGTGGCGGCTGTGTCTGATCTCCTCCACTAGATGGAGATAGAGTTCCAGCTAAACTTCAGTCATAGAGTGAGTGAGTGCTAGTACACACATCGAGCACAGCTGGTTGCTATTGTTCAACTTCAGTTGTCTGCACTTAAGAGATCTTCAAATCAAAGCCATGAGCCCAAGGTAAACTCATGCTTATGTAATGGGAGTGGTGCAGTCATGCATTTTGATTTTAATGGTGGTATATGCTGTTATATGATTACATAATTCACACACTGAAACAATTTGTTGACTCTGAACTTCAAAAGAGTCCTAAAAAGGTAATGGTTCATAATTTCCGAGATCTATTTGAAAGTGTTATTTCCAACTCAACTTAGGAAGCTGTCCAGATACACTTAATTATTCGTTTAACCTTAACCTCGACTTTGGTTTGGTAAAAGTTATTGTTTGACATGCTAAATTAGTGGTTGTAGCAGTATAGCAGTAGTGTTTTTTCTTAATGGGAAATCATAGTTGTTTGTTAGCATACATTTTGAGCTGTGGTGCTTATGTTGGAAATTGAGGTAAAGTTGGTTTTATATTCACACATTCGTTCATTGACAACTTATGACATTGTCCCTGTATTGTTTACCATGGTAAATCAGAATGTGTGAAAATAAAACAAACTTTACCTCAGTATGTTGCCATTCAACATTCATATCTGACCTGCAGTTTTATTCATAGTCATATTGCAAAATGTCCAAATGTTAAACTACTGTATTTTTGAAGTCAGGAATAACTCATAACAAACAATTAATTTGTTAGCATGGTGGTATTTTGACATTTCTGAGATAACTTCACCAACAAAAGTGGTTTTATAATCTGTTCAGTTATTGTCAGATCTAGCATTTATTTAGCGGTACTGACACAAAACAAAAAGAAAGATTAATTAATTTGGATTTCAAACTTCTTGAATTTTGATTTAGATTTCAAAAGAACATACAAAATGTGTCACTGTGCTTCATGGATATATAGGAAATAATATTTTTTTTTATTCCCCCAGAGTAATGTTAGACATTTAGATAGAGTTTGTTTTATATTCGCATATTTAGACTTTCTCCTGAATTATATATTTTCAGGAAAATAAATATTTTCTGCTAATTCTAAGTAGAGAAATCAAACTAGCAGGTGATGGCTATCAAAGTACAATATTATTCACAGTCAAATAAATACTGCTACCATTAATGTAGTCATATATTTACTTGTGATTTCAGGCAGAATATTCAAAGTACCATGGTAAACAATATAGGGAGCATTTCACATGTTGTCATTGAACAAAAGTGTTAATATAAAACCAGCATTACCTCAGTATGTTACACTTACCTTTGTTTGAAATTGTAAATGTAAAGCTGAAAATGTAAAGCTTACACAGGCAGTTCACATAAAAATGAAAATTTCCTTATCATTTACTCATACTTATTTTAAAAAAAAGTTGGTCCAAAACATACCATAGAAGAGAATGGTTGCTTTTTTCTAATATTTTTCAGTATGTCTTGCATTGTGAAAATGAAACCACATTGAAATGAACTAAACTAAAGTTCAACTCTGAAAACTGGACTGACAGTTTCAGTTTACTAGAACTTCTACTGTATGTTAAGCTGTTTCGACACAATTTTCATTGTAAAAGTGTTATAGAAATAAACTTGAATTGAATTGAATTGAATTCCACTGGCATTGTACATTCTTAATCTAGGGCGGCACAATATTGGAAAAACCTAACATTGAGATATTTTGTTATTCTGCAATAGATATATTTTGATATGAATACAATTTCATTAGGTGACTTAATTATCTTTGGAAAGAACTGATCATTTTTTATTGATTGGGATGATTCTGTAGTGGAAGTGCATCTGCATGAAATCTAATAAACAGTATAAAAACAATAAAGAATACATACAATTGACTGTTTAAGCATTTTCCGAGTCTAACAATATTCAGGTGTAGTAATTGAAAAATGAAAAGTAATTCAGTAAAATAAATCGTTATTAAAATTAAAAATGGTACAATTTCTTAATACAAAAAAAAAAAAAAACATAGTCACAGGCCTCAAAAAAGCATTGAGTTTACAAACTCAACATTGCATATCCTGCGATGTGACTATTGCCAATGATCGCATTACAAGATCATTGATCAAACGAAATGTTGAGCATTCCTACTTTAATCCGTATTAAAAAGCACTCAAGAGTGGGCATGGCCATTTCTAAAATGAATGTGTTTGGTTTCTGCTATCATCTGCTTCCAGCTATGTTCAACTTGGTAAGACTTTATTTTGATGTTTCCTGTTGCATATTTTGTTGACTAAAAATTGCATCGCAACTACATGCCAATTACTTCTCACTTAAATATTATGCCGCAGTTTTTGCTTGCGGAATTTTATTGTACGACGCTGCGAAAAGGGACAAGATTAAACAAGATGATTAGACGTTAAAAAAACGAGTGATTGGTCCATGTTTTAAATTTCTGTTCAAAAAGGTCATGTTTTGATCTTCGATTGCTTTTACGCAATCATATAATGTGATTTCTGTAGGGAGAAAAGGGAGGGAAGTCTGTAGGGAGAAAAGTACAGTGTGACCGCAGCTTTAGTAGACTTTCTGCTTAATATCTGTCAATACTGCTACTTCAACAGACATTTACTGACTATAAGAATCTTTGCAAGTACATGTCAACTTACACTAACCCTAATCTAACAGTCTACCTATAATGTAATGAGAATTAGTTGGCATGTAGATTTAATGTAACTTAAAATCAACAAGATGTGTTAAAGGGACGTTCAAAATAAAGTGATACCGTTAATTTTTGCAAAGTGGTGTATTATTATGCAGCAATTGGTATGTGTTACCATATTGTTGCCTTTAGAATTTGTATCAGTCAGGCTGAGTAAATAGTAAACTGAGTATGGCATGAAAGTTTACTAGCTTATTGAAAAGGGACACAACCTTGCATATAGCAAGCAGAGTAAATGATAAATGTCTAACTGTGCCATGGCAGGTTTCGGCTGTGGGCAGTGGACAACACGGGTCGGCGCTCCAGTCCGAGTGAGGTGACGATCAAAACTCCTTGTCCTGCTGTGGATGATGTCAAGGCTCAAGGTAGAGAGTTGCTTGATTTATGAGTGAACTTTTGGATTAAACACTATTCAGACAGGATCTGATTTGGTTTAATGTCTTTTCAGAAATAGCAGATAAGATTTACAATCTGTTCAACGGCTACACCAGCGGGAAGGAGCAGCAGACGGCCTATAATACACTCATGGATCTGGGATCACCAACCCTCCACCGAGTTCTATACCACTACAATCAGCGCTACGAGAGTTTTGGAGAGTTCACCTGGCGATGTGAAGATGAACTTGGTCCAAGGTTTGTAAAAACATTTTGAAGTTTTGTTGGAATTCGGAACCCTTGTCATCACCGGTGACTGTGAAGTGCACTGCAGCCAACAACTATTTGTTTGTTTTGTTTTCCCTCACCAGAAAATCTGTCTACAGGCTTTCATAGATGACCTAAGCTCATTTCCATTGCAGTTTTTCTAATTATCCTTTTTGCAAATATCTTAAAAAAAGCACCTGATGTGAGTGTGAAACTTTTTTTGTGGCAAATTTGGGTGTTTTTGTGAAAAATTACATGTTTCCATTTATTAGTAATATACACAATTTAGAGGGTGGTGGAGATCGGCTATTGACGAAAAACAAATATAACATGCTAATTTGTACTTACAGTATATCCCATTTATTATGATCTTACAGCCTCAATGTAAAATTCAAGAATTTACACTTAGATATTGCTTGATAATATTAGCAGGTTTGGCATACTGTCTTTGGAGAGAACTTGGGGGGGGTTCTTCAAAAAACGAAGATAAGGTAGTAATGCTAGACGGGCTATTTATAGTGAGTTTGGATTAGTCTGATTGGCTTACTAATGATTACAGATGGGAGACCAGCCACGATCAATCATATCACATACTTCTCTCAAAATTAGTTTGTGAAACTTTACTAAAAAGTGACCAGTATAAAGGCACAAATTTTTTTTACCACTGAAGGATGCATATGCACAACAAACAAAGGTTTGAGGACACCATGAATGACAACTCCCATAATTACGCACTCATTACCTTTAGCTCATCTATGAACGTGATTACAGTACTTCAAAAGTTCCGTATTCAAAATGCGTTATGATACTAGTATTGAGCAGCATAAGGCTGAATGCCATCAAAGCCATGAAGCAATTGATGATTATAGATGAGCGTGACGCAACATAAGAGCAGCCAAGCTTTATTATTCCACAGTTATCAAAAATAAATTTTGAGCTTATGTTATGATAATGCTTTTCTGTGCAGTCTAATAAAATGCAACATTCATTGAAGCATATTTGGTGTTTACCTGTTTTCTAACAAAACAAACCATAAATTGTGACTTTATTAGCATGGCTACATTGAACACGGTCTGTGTCACTACTTAAAATTACTACTTCAAAACATTTTAGAGTTCATGTAAAGTACATGAGTTAGCAAAATACTTAAAAAATGAAATAAAATAACACTGTTCTTGTGTTTTTTAGATATTAATGAAGTCTTGCATGCTGTGCCCTTAGGACTTCATTAAGGTAGCAACACTGCTAGAGAGTCACAAATTGGCAATTGTGCCACAGTACATACTAGAAAAATAACTTGAAATGGAATTGTATAGTTTGATGCTAGAATATTGCTAAGCTAACTTCACAATCATTTTGTTTTCTTAAAAATGGATACAAATAATTAAGTTAATGAAGTGAAGTGAGCCTTGTCAAGTGTGGTTTCACCCATACTTAAAATTGGTTCTCTGCTTTTAACCCATCCAAGAAGTGAAAGCACGCACACACACACACACACACACACACACACACACACACACACACACACACACACACACACACAGTAGGCACTCACCCAATGCAGTGGGTAGCTATTGCTTTCAACCCCCTGGGAGCAATACGGGGTTTGATGTCTTGCACAGGGGCACCATAGATGGGTATCGAAGGTGGAAAGAGTGAGGTTCATTCAATCCTGCAATCTTCAGTTCCTGCTGGGACCGGGAATTGATCCTGCAACCTTTGGACTACAAGTACAGCACCCTAACCATTATTTCAAAAGCATTTAACACATTCTCCCCCTGAATCAGAATATGCCTACTTCTATACTGTAAATAGTAAGAAAAATAGTATGGGATGTGAAAGTTTGCTTTGATAATTTACTAATTCTAGTGAGATCCTGAAATGTGCATAATGCTTTACCATCCCATGTGGCCACAGCAGAGGATTTGTGAATGGCATTGAAGTGATGCAACTGATGCCGTTGGTCACATGACAGTTACATCAAGGAGACAAGGAGAATTTGATTGTTGCTCCAAATACAAATATTCATGCTAAGATGACCTTTGCAGTGGATCTGTTCTCTGGTGTATGGCAAGCAATTTTTGACACCACTTTGGATTTATTTTTTCACACAAAACGTTATGAGATGCTGCCTTGGAATCCATGTGAGAATGTTACTGTGACGCATTGATTTTTATTGATCGCTATTAAACCCGATATCTTATTTCACAAGCTTTTACATGCTTTTTTATGTTTTGTTTTATTGCTCCTTAAATTACATTGTAAACGCAGATTATTCTATTACAGATTCTAACGTCAGACATCTGATTAGGCTATTTGTGCTAATTAGGTTTAAATTGAACACAATCAAACTGATTACAGTTCATTTAAAGGGATCACCAAGGCATCACGCTGATCACAAAACCGGGTGGTAATCTTTATACACCCTCCAAAACAAACCAAAGACAAATATGGTCTGGATTTTCGAATTGCGCTCAAATGCTTTCTAAACATAGCCATGTGTTCAATATAAAACGTGATAGCTTCCTCATCTGCACAGTAGAGGCAGGTGAGTTTAATTATGGTCATTTGGACAACCATACCTGAGGCCTCGGTTCAAATTAAAAGGTTGCATTTAATGGTCTCCATGTTGCAAGGTTTTCCTTTCTTGCTCTGGGGTTACTGCATTAAAACACGCTGTTATCAAACACTCTCCCGCCCAGAGCGAACCGCTGAGAGGACTTTAACAGTAGCAAAACAGTACAAGATATGAAATCAAATTCAGGACTTACACCATGTCCTAGCAACATGCGACATGATTCCTGGTGTTGCGACACAACAAAAACATATAAATACCAGAGCCATTTAGAAGCGCAGAATAGTGCACTGCTTTCCCAAACAAAATGACTTGTTTATAACCTAATTAATAGTTATTTGACCTCATTAACATTATTAAAAGTAGATGCTAAGTCTCAGTTCTATTGTTCTTACCTAAAGTCTGCCTGAACCAAAAGTTGCAGAGACTTTTATATTAGATGTTGATGTGCTTGCTAGCCACAGCCATATCACACTGCAGCCCAAGACCGCTTACTCACTGAAGCTAAGCAGGGCTGAGCCTGGTCAGTACTTGGATGGGAGACCACATGGGAAATCTTGGTTACTATTGGAAGTGGTGTTAGTGAGGCCAGCAGGGGGTGCTCAACTTGCGGTCTGTGGTTCTAATGCCCCAGTAAAGGGGTCACAATACTGTCAGTGATTGCCATCCTGTCCTGGCTAAATTCTCTTTATTGGCTCTTACCAATATGTTGCCTCCCAATCATCCCCATCCACTCTATCACTGTCTCTCCACTCCACCAATAGCTGGTATGTAGTGAGCACACTGGCGCCATTGTCCTGTGGCTGCCGCTGCATCATCCAAGTAGATGCTGCACACTGGTGGTGGTGTTAATGAGGCCAGCATGGGGCACTCATCCTGCGGTGTGTCCTAATGCCCCAGTAAAGTGAAGGGGACACTATACTGTCAGTGAACGCCATCTTTTGGATGAGATCTTAAACCGAGGTCCTGACTTTGTGGTCATAAAAAGTCCCATGGCACTTCTCGTAAAGGGTAGGGGTGTAACCCCCGGTGTTCTGGCTAAATTCCCTCCATTGGACCTTATCGATCATTGCCTCCAAATCATCCCCATCCACCGAATTGGCTCTCACTGTCTCTCGACTCCACTAATAGCTAGGGTGTGGTGAGTGCACTGGTGCCGTTGTCCTGTGGCTGCCGTCACATCATCCAAGTGGATGATGATTGTGAAGTGATTTGGGTGTATGGCCATATACAGTAGATGCGCTATATAAATACACATTAAATTACTTCTAACTGAAACGGAATATTGAATTGGAGGCTTTCATTTTTTGCACATCATATAGCAAACTATGAAACTACAGAACTGAATTAATAAATACAAATATTCTATTATTTTTCATCTTAATTAACATACACTGTAAAAAGTGATAACTGAAACTAGTAACTTCAGCTTGTTACAACTACATAAAGTTCATTAGTTCACAATTAATATGCTACTGTTTTCATTAATAGTTAAGCTGGAAAAACTTTATTATTTTAGGTGTAAGCAGTTGAAGTCGTTAATTTTTTATTCAATGATGCTTTTTTTAGTGTAGGCAGCATCTGTGATCCATAGGCCTATCTGTTGTCAAAGCTGCTGCTATGAATTGTGTTGCTTCAGCTCATTTGAAATAATTAGAATGAACGGATAGAAAACAGTATTTTTGAGTGTATATCTGACTATGTCTCACCTTTATTTGTTTTTTGGGGATTTTGGAAGGAAATAAAAATCACAAATGTGGTTTTAACAACTTGCATTAAACCTGTCCAGCTTTATCAGGAGTCAGACCACCTCATGAAGTGGTCAGGAGGTATTTTCACCTGCTATTTTCACAGTCAGATATCTGATCAGAAAAAAAGAATGCATGAGGAGACCCTGTGTAAACAGCTCCTTAGTTTCTGTAGAAAAAAGCTGGTATGTAGTTGTTTATAGCTAAACGTTATTAAGCAGGCGGTCTACTAATACTCTTAAACTGCAAATTGACCTGCAGTAGCAAAGTTACTTCTCTAAAGTGCACTATAAAAATAAAGTGTTACCAAACATTTTGCTTTCTACGTCATTATTTAAATTTGAGAAGCACAAGTTTACTAAATGGGTCAATTAGTGTTAATACTAACCTAATTTACCTGAAAGAAGACTCTAAGGGTGAATGCATTGCAATTCAAAAACAGCATTTAATCATGCTTTAATTCGTCAAGACATTTACACTACGAAGGGAGCTTGTTTTTGTTAAATATTGCACAAGTGTATCAACTTTAGATAAGCTGCTTCAGTGGAGGTCTGGAAAGATTGACGATTATCCTCCTTGTATGCGTCATCAATCTCACTACTTCCATGAAAGCGTTCTAATTTTTATGCATGGAAATGTAAACAATGAGAATTTGTCTTTAGCACAAA